CTTGCCTAGTCCAGGAGCTTGCCTGGTCTAGAGCTTGCATGGTCCAGGAGCTTGGCTGGTCCAGGAACTTGCTTGGTCCAGGAGCGTGCCTGGTCCAAAAGCTTGCCTGGTCCAGGAGCATGCCTGGTCCAGGAGCTTGCCTGTTCCAGGAGCTTGCCTGGTCTTGCATGGTCAAGGAGCTTACCTGGTCCGGGAGCTTGCCTGGTCCAGGAGCGTGCGTGTTCCAGGAGCTTGCCTTGTCCAGGAGCTTGCCTGGTCAAGGAGCTTGCCTGGTCCAAGAGCTTGTCTGGTCCAGGAGCTGGCGTGGTCCAGGAGCTTGCTTGGTCCAGGAGCTTGCATAGTCAAGGAGCTAGCTTGGTCCAGGATCTTGCCTGGTCCACGAGCTTGCCTCTTCCAAGAGCTTGCCTAGTCGCGGAGCTTGCCTGGTCCAGGAGCTTTCCTGATTTTGGAGCTTGTTTCATCCACGAGCGTGCATGCTCCAGGAGCTCGCCTGGTCCGGGAGCTTGCCTGGTCAAGGAGCTTGCCTGGTCCACGAGCTTGCCTAGCCCAGGAGCTTTCCTGGTCCTGGAGCTTGCCTGGTCCAGAAGCTTTCCCAGTCCAGGAGCGTGCCTTGTCGAGGATCTTGCCTGGTCCAGAAACTTGCCTGATCCAGGAGCTTGCCTGGTCTAGGAGCTTGCCTGGTCCAGGAGTTTGCGTGGTCGAGAAGCTTGCCTAGTCCAGAAGCTTGCCTGGTCCAGGAGCTTGCCTGGTCCAGGAGCTTGCCTTTTCTAGGAGCTTGCCTGGTCCAGGAGCGTGCCTGGTCCATGAGCTTGCCTGGTCCAGGAGCGTGCTTGGTCTAGGAGCGTGCTTGGTCCAGAAGCTTGCTAGGTCAAGGAGCTTGACTGGTCCAAGAGCTTGCCTGGTCCAATAGCTTGGCTGGTCCAGGAGCTTGCCTGGTCCAGGAGCTTACTTCGTCCAGGAGCTTGCCTGGTCCAGGAGCTTGCGTGGTCCAGGAGCTTGCCTGGTCCAGGAGCTTGCTTGGTCCAGGAGCTTGCCTTTTCCAGAAGCGTGCGTGGTCCAGGAGCTTGCCTGGTCTAGGAGCTTGATTGGTCCAGGAGCTTACCTGGTCCAGAAGCTTGCGTGGTCCAGGAGCTTGCCTAGTCCAGGAGCTTGCCTGATCTAGGAGCTTGCCTTGTCTAGGAGCGCGCCTTGTCCATGAGCGTGCTTGGTCTAGTAGCTTGCCTGGTCCAGGAACTTGCCTGGTCCTGGAGCTTGCCTGGTCCAAGAGCTTGCCTGCTCGAGGATCTTGCCAGGTCTAGGAGCTTTCCTTGTCCAGGAGTATGCCTGGTCCGGGAGCTTGGCTGGTCCAGGAGCTTGCCTGGTCCAGGAGCTTGCCTGGTTTAGGAGCTTGCCTGGTCCAGTAGCGTGCCTGGTCCATGAGCTTGCCTGGTCCAGGAGCGTGCCTGGTCCAGGAGCGTGCCTGGTCCAAGAGCTTCCCTAGTCTATGAGCTTGCCTGGTCTAGGAGCTTGCCTGATCCAGAAGCTTGCCTGGTCTAGGAGCTTGCCTGGTCCAGGAGCTTGCCTGATCTAGGAGCTTGCCTGGTCTAGGAGTGTGCCTGGTCCATGAGCGTGCCTGCTCTAGTAGCTTGCCTGGTCCAGGAATTTGCCTGGTCCAGGAGCTTGCCTGGTCCAAGAGCTTGCCTGCTCGAGGATCTTGCCTAGTCCAAGAGCTTTCCTGGTCCAGGAGCTTGCCTGGTCCAAGAGCATGCCTGGTCCAGGAGCTTGCTTGTTCTAGGAGCTTGTCTGGTCTAGGAACTTGCCTCATCCTGGTCCTTGCCTGGCCCAGGAGCTTGCCTGATTCGAGAGCTTGCCTGGTCAAGGAGCTTGCCTGGTCCAAGAGCGTGCCTGGTTTAGGAGCTTGTCTGGTCCAGGAGCGTACTTGGTCAAGGAGCTTGCCTGGTCAAGGAGCTTGCCTGGTCCAAGAGCTTGCCTGGTCAAGGAGCTTGCTTGTCCAGAAGCTTGCTGCTCCAAGAGCTTGCCTGGTCTGGGAGCTTGCCTGGTCCAGGAGCTTGCCTGGTCCAGGAGCTTGCCTGGTCCAGGAGCTTGCTTGTCCATGAGCTTGCTGCTCCAGGAGCTTGCCTGGTCCGGGAGCTTGCCTGGTCCAGGAGCTTGCCTAGTCTAGAAGCTTAACTGGTCCAGGAGCTTGCCTGGTCTAGGAGCTTACCTGGTCCAGGAGCTTGCCTGGACAAGGATCTTGCCTGGTCCTGGAGCTTTCCTTGTCCAGGAGCTTGCCTCGTCCAGGAGCGTGCCCGGTCGAGGAGCTTTCCTGGTCTAGGAGCTTGCCTGGTCAAGGAGCTTGCCTGGTCCAGAAGCTTGCCTGGTCCAGGAGCTTGCTTGTCCAGGAGCTTGCTGCTCCAGGAGCTTGCCTGGTCCGGGAGCTTGCCTGGTGCAGGAGCTTGCCTGGTCCAGGAGCTTGCCTGGTCCAGGAGCTTGCCTAGTCCAGGAGCTTGCTTGTCGAGGAGCTTGCTGCTCTAGGAGCTTGCCTGGTCCGGGAGCTTGCCTCGTCCAGGAGCTTGCCTGGTCCAAGAGCTTGCCTTGCCCATGAGCTTGCTTGTCCAGGAGCTTGCTGCTCCAGGAGCTTGCCTGGTACGGGAGCTTGCCTGGTCCAGGAGCTTGCCTAGTCCAGAAGCTTGCCTGGTCCAGGAGCTTGCCTGGTCCAAGAGCTTGCTTGGAGAAGGATCTTGCCTGGTCTAGGAGCTTTCCTTGTCCAGGAGCTTGCCTCGTCCAGGAGCGTGCCCGGTCCAAGAGCTTGCCTAGTCCAGGAGCTTGCCTGGCCCAGTAGCTTGCCTGGCCCAGGAGCTTGCCTGGTCCAGGAGCTTTCCTGGTCTAGGAGCTTGCCTGGTCCAGGAGCTTGCTTGGTCCAGGAGCTTGCCTGGTCAACGAGCTTGTTTGGTCCAGGAGCTTGCTTGGTCCAGGAGCTTGCCTGGTCAACGAGCTTGCCTGGTCCAGGAGCTTGCTTGGTCCAGGAGCTTGCCTGGTCAACGAGCTTGTTTGGTCCAGGAGCTTGCCTCGTCCAGGAGCTTGCCTGGCCCAGGAACTTGCCTGGTCCAGGAGCTTTCCTGGTCCAGGAGCTTGCCTAGTCCAGGAGCTTGCTTGTTCTAGGAGCTTGTCTGGTCTAGGATCTTGCCTAGTCCAGGAGCTTGCCTGGTCTAGGAACTTGCCTCATCCTGGTCCTTGCCTGGGCTAGGAGCTTGCCTAATCCGAGAGCTTGCTTTGTCCAGGAGCTTGCCTGGTCCAAGAGCGTGCCTGGTCTAGGAGCTTGTCTGGTCCAGGAGCGTACCTGGTCAAGGAGCTTGCATGGTCAAGGAGCTTGCCTGGTCCAGGAGCTTGCGTGGTCAAGGAGCTTGCTTGTCCAGAAGCTTGCTGCTCCAGGAGCTTGCCTGGTCTAGGAGCTTGCCTGGTCTAGGAGCTTGCCTGGTCTAGGAGCTTGCCTGGTCTAGAAGCTTGCCTGGTCCAGGAGCTTGCCTGGTCCAGGAGCTTGCTTGTCCATGAGCTTGCTGCTCCAGGAGCTTGCCTGATCCGGGAGCTTGCCTGGTCCAGGAGCTTGCCTAGTCTAGAAGCTTGCCGGGTCCAGGAGCTTGCCTGGTCCAGGAGCTTACCTGGTCCAGGAGCTTGCCTGGACAAGGATCTTGCCTGGTCCATGAGCTTTCCTTGTCCAGGAGCTTGCCTCGTCCAGGAGCGTGCCCGGTCCAGGAGCTTGCCTGGTCTAGGAGCTTGCCTAGTCCAGGAGCTTGCGTGGTCCAGGAGCTTGCCTGGTCCAGGAGCTTGCTTGTCCAAGAGCTTGCTGCTCCAGGAGCTTGCCTGGTCCGGGAGCTTGCCTGGTCCAGGAGCTTGCCTGGTCCAGGAGCTTGCCTGGTCCAGGAGCTTGCCTGGTCCAGGAGCTTGCTTGTCCAGGAGCTTGCTGCTCTAGGAGCTTGCCTGGTCCGGGAGCTTGCCTCGTCCAGGAGCTTGCCTGGTCCAGGAGCATGCCTGGTCCAAGAGCTTGCCTGGACAAGGATCTTGCCTGGTCTAGGAGCTTTCCTTGTCCAGGAGCTTGCCTCGTCCAGGAGCGTGCCTGGTCCAGGAGCTTGCCTTGTCAAGGAGCTTGCCTGGCCCAGGAGCTTGCCTGGCCTAGGAGCTTGCCTGGTCCAGGAGCTTTCCTGGTCTAGGAGCTTGCATGGTCCAGGAGCTTGCTTGGTCCAGGAGCTTGCCTGGTCAACGAGCTTGTTTGGTCCAGGAGCTTGCCTCGTCTAGGAGCTTGCCTGGCCCAGGAACTTGCCTGATCCAGGAGCTTTCCTGGTCCAGGAGCTTGCCTGGTCCAGGAGCTTGCCTGGTCCAGGAGCTTGCCTGGTCAAGGAGCTTGCGTGGTCCAGGAGCTTGCCTGGTCCAGGAGCTTGCTTGGTCCAGGAGCTTGCCTGGTCCATGAGCATGCCTTGTCAAGGATCTTGCCTGGTCCAGGAGCTTGCCTGGTCCAGGAGCTTGCCTGGTCCTCGTCCTTGCCTGGGCCAGGAGCTTGCCTGGTCCAGGAGCTTGCCTTGTCGAGGAGCGTGCCTGGTCCAGGAGCTTGCCTTGTCCAGGAGCTTGCCTGGTCCAGGAGCTTGCCTGGTCCAAGAGCTAGCCTGGTCCAGGAGCTTACCAAGTCGAGGAGCTTGCCTGGTCCAGGAGCTTGCCTGGTCCAAGAGCTTGCCTGGTCCAAGAGCTTTCCTGGTCCAGGAGCTTTCCTGGTCCATGAGCTTTCCTGGTCCAGGAGCTTGCCTGGTCAAGGAACTTGCCTGTTCTAGGAGCTTGGCTGGTCCAGGAGCTTTCCTGGTCCAGGAGCTTGCCTGGTTAAGGAGCTTGTCTGGTCAGCGAGCTTGCCTGGTCTAGGAGCTTGCCTGGCCCAGGAGCTTGCCTCCTTTAGAAGCTTGCCTGGCCCAGCCATCATCCGAGCCTCGGTCCCTATCCTGAGTACATGTTCTCTCGACTACCTGTACAATTATACATTATGTACACTCCCGTCCGAGCTTTGTAAACTTGCGACAAGGACCTTGCATGGTCTTGGAGCTTGCCTGGTCCAGAAGCTCACGACACGAGCAGGGAGCAGACTCATGACCAGACCTGGACGCTGTAGCAAACACCTGACCGGACACAGCCACCTGACCTGAATCAGCGACCGGAGAAGAATCAGTGGTCAGTGTGTACAGGCTCGACCCCGGCTGACGGGTAAACGTGGCCAAGTGTCGGCCTGTCCGAGCACACATACAGTGGGTCACCTGCTGACTCGCAGGAGTGAACTGGTCAACCCCCCCATCCTGTAGATCAGAACCACTCACCAAGTTCGTAGAGAACGAGGGGAGGTAGAGACCTGACAGGGTGCTGGAGGGGGCCGCCGGACTCGGTAAGACAGTGGAGAAGTGGGCAAGGACGGCACCCCTAGAGGGGTCCGCCAGGGAGACCGCAACTGGCCAACTAAGCGGCGTAAGCGTGGTGCGGTCTCGAAAGAAGGAGCGAGAAGCACCCGAGTCAAGGGTGAAGGTGTGGAAGGCCTGAGCCGACGTGGTACCTGAGAGAGCAGACTCACCAGCACCTGGGGCAGTAGAGGCACTAGCACCTAGAGCAGCAGCGTCACCAGCACCTAGAGCAGCAGCCTCAATGCTCGGGTCAGGCGGAACACACAGGTAACAGTCACCCTCATCACTAGTAGACACAACATACATGGCAGCAAGAATAGCATCATAGTCCACATCAAAGATAGCAACCCCCAACCTAAGCAGCTCGCCCCGGCGGGGGATCTCAGTGGCGTCAGGGAACTGGAGACGCCAAGCGTCCGTCAGGCGGCCGAAGCAGCGCTGGGTGGTGTGCGGGCCACCGCACGGCTCACCAGTGCGGTCGCCGGTATGCAGGATGTCAGAATGTTATTCTCTAGCCTGTAGTGGGGTGCTCTATAGCGAGTACAACCCATCTAGGGTTTGCTATATGTATCCTCATTGCTGTTAGTGAAACCCCTCCTTCTTTGCCTAAACTTTCACTTGCCTAGCTAGGGCTCACCTAGCTATGGCTCCTAACTATCCCTACTTTTCTCATATGGTTTCAGAGCACTCACGCTCCCGGCCTGTGGGCCCTACTGCTGCTTCCGCTGCCCTACTCTGTGTCGCGCGCCACGGGGGGGGCGACCTCCAATTTTTCATCCCGCCGCGCCCTCGGGGCGCGCGGCGGTTTTCTGTCCGCCGTGCGCCTTGAGGCGCGCGGCGGTTTCCTGCCGTGGGGGAGCTCGCACGCGCCCCGCTCGTCCGTCGCGGCGCCCTGGGGAGCACGCGCGGCCCCCACCCTACACGTCGCGACGCCCTGGGGAGCCCGCGAGCGCCCCGCCCGTCCCTCGCGACGCCCTGGGGAGCCCGCGAGCGCCCCGCCCGTCCGTCGCGACGCACTGGGGAGCCCGCGAGCGCCCCGCCCGTTCGTCGCAACGTCCTGAGGAGCCCGCGCGCGCCCCGCCAGTTCGTCGCGGCGCCCTCGGGAGCCCGCGCGCGCCCCGTTAGGCCGTCACGGCGCCCTGAGCAGCTGCGCGCGCGTCCCTCTCGCCCGTCCGCCGCGGCTCCCTGGGGAGCAGCGCGCGCCACCCCCCTCCACCCGCCCAGCCCGTCCGTTCTGGCACCTTGGGGGTCGTGCGCTGTCCCCCCCTCACCATCCCCCGCGCTCCTGCCCCTATCCCACCCGTTTTAGGGTTTTGGGGGTGAGGAGTGTGGGGGTGATGGTTGTGGGGGTGTCGGTTGTGCGCCCCGTCCCCTTCTCCTCCTCCTTCGTCTCCCACTGCTGCAGCTGTCGCTGAGGGGGGTGTATGTGTGGGAGTCTGGGGTTTAGGGTTTAAGGGGGGTGCTGTGGGAGTGGAGCTAGGGTTTGAGCAGGGGGTGTGTGAGAGGGGCGTGGGGCAGCTGGGGGAGGTTGAGTGGAGGCAGCAGTCTTGTCGCCAGCACCACCAACAGTCCGGAGGCTACAATCTCCGGTAGTCGCCAGTTGCCTGTGGGTCAGTTGCTCCGGTCTGGAGGCTGCAATCTCCGCGGAGCCAGTTACTCCTGTAGTCCGGGCCTTTGCTTCGGTAGCCACTGAGCCGGCAGCTCCTGTGTGTCCGCGGCTTCAGCAGTCGCCTCCCATCTTCTCTCCCCCACAGTCTCTCCTCCTCCTCACTTGCCCTCTGTGATTAGCTCTAGCTTTGCTTACCTTTGTGAACTCCTGCTCTGTACGTGCTTGCTCATTGTACTGATTACACCCCCACTTTGGCTATGGGGGTGTGTCAGAATGTTATTCTCTAGCCTGTAGTGGGGTGCTCTATAGCAAGTACAACCCATCTAGGGTTTGCTATATGTATCCTCATTGCTGCTAGTGAAACCCCTCCTTCTTTGCCTAAACTTTCGCTTGCCTAGCTAGGGCTCACCTAGATATGGTTCCTAACTATCCCTACTATTCTCACACAGGACGTAGGCACAAGGACCAGCACCCCCACCCTGCTGACGCGCAGCGTACCACTCACGAAGCTGCTGGGGGGGCGGGGTCTCACGAATGCGCTGTTGTTGCAGGCGCTGACCGCCACCGAAGCCACCCCGACCTGCTCCACCTCCGCCGCCGCCACCTCCGCCACTGCCGCCACCGCCTCCTCCTCCGCTCCCACCGCCACCTCCGCCGCCGCCTCCGCCTCCACCGCTGCCACCAAAGCCCCCACCCCCGCCACCACTCCAACCACCACCCCCACTCCCGCCGCCGCCTCCGCCTCCACCTCCACCGCCCCCGCCAGCCCCTCCAGCGCCCTTGCCCCCTTTGCCCTTGCCGGTGCGGCGTCTCCCGCTAGGGGCAGACGCAGCGCCGACCGACTCGGTGCCAACGAATTTGACGGCAGCAGCAGAGGTAACAGAGGGCAAAAGCGGGGAGGGGGAGCACCCCTCAAAGAAGGGGGCACGAGGGTCACCACGAGAGGCTCCTACAGTGACTAAACTCTTCTCAGCTGCCAGGAGGCACTCCTCGAGGAGGTCAGCGGTGAGTGTGGTGGGGCAAACAGAGAGGAAGTGGTCCCTAACCGAGCGAAGAGAGTCAGGGAGCTGGGTGACTATGTAGTAGAGGGTGATGTACATGGGGGGGGTTCTTGGCGCAGAACTCAGCAGGAAGTGCAGCGCGGTAGCGGGTGTCACTAGTGCGAAGGTGCGTAATGAGGTCAGCGACTGTGGGAAAGGCGGCGAGGTTAGGGAACAGGTACGGCAGCATGAGGCGGCTAAGGGCAGCAGTGGCAGGGGAAGACTAGCGTGCGAATACAGCGTCGTACAAGGTCTTAGCACTCTTGCACTGACTAAAGTGCGTGCGCTCAGAGGACGGCAAGTGACTACGCACAGCAAGACGGGCAGCAGAATCGCGTGTGGCCCACTGTGAGCGAACAGTGCTGTCAGCATCGGCAGCAGGGGCAGTAGAGGCGCCAGATGCGAGATGGAACAGTGAGAGATCGTCTTTCCTATCGCACTGTAGGAAAAGCTGCAGATCATCAACCCAGACCTCGAAGTCAACAGCCCGTTCCCTCAGCATCAAAGACGAGAACGTTAGGGGTAGCCATGACAGCAGTAGCAGTAGGCTAGGGGCAGCAGCAGCAGGCTAGGGGCAGTAGCAGCAGGCGAGGCGCAGCACTGTCGCAGGGGCGCGGCTCGGCGGTGCTCTTACCAGGGCGGGAGGGTAGAGTGCCGCAAGTGGAGCGGTAGGGCCGAGGCGCGCCTGCAGGGACAGGGCCGCGACAGCTGCAGCGGCTCCTGCTGTTGGCGGCGGCGGCTGCTGCGGCCCCAGTAGCGGCGGCGGCGGCCGTTACGGCATCGGCGGCGGCTCCGGGCGGTAGCGGCGGCGGCGGCGGCGGCTGCTGCTGCTGTCAGCGGCGGCGGCTGCTGATGTTGTCGGCGGCGGGCACTGCACCGGCGGCGGCTGGCACTGCACCGGCGGCGGCGGCGGCTCCTGCTGTCAGTAGCGGCGGCGGCGGCGGCGGCCCCGGCAGCGGTGGCGGCGGCTGTGACGGCGCGACGGCTGCTGCTGCTAGGGCGACGATGGCTGGGCGGCAGGGCCGTGAGGGGGCCGAGAAGGACAACGGCGGGGCCGAGAAGGGGCCGCGCAGGGGCCGCGAAGGGCGGCGACGAGGCCGTGAAGGGGCCGCGACGAGGCCGTGAAGGGGCCGCAAGGGGCCGCAAGGGGCCACGAAGGGCCGTGAGAGGGGCCGCAAAGGGCGGCGGAGGGGCCGCAAGGGAGCCGCGAAGGGGCCGCAAAGGGGCCGCGCAGGGGCCGCGAAGGGCGGCGACGAGGCCGTGAAGGGGCCGCGACGAGGCCGTGAAGGGGCCGCGAGGGGCCGCAAGGGGCCGCGAAGGGCCGTGAGAGGGGCCGCGAAGGGCGGCGGAGGGGCCGCAAGGGAGCCGCAAAGGGGCCGCGAAGGGCCGTGGGAGGGGACCGCGAGGGGCCGTAAGAGGGCGCGACGGGCCGCTAAGGGCAGGGGACGCGACGGGAGGGTAGGTACGCGCGGCGCGACTCGGGCAGGAGCGAAGCGCGCTCCGGGCAGGAAAATAAATTTTCGATTTTTCAGTGGTGGGCCCTAGGAAACGCTCCCACTAGGGAACCTGCTCTATACCATGTGGAAATCACGAGGAATGAATGACTAAGGAATGAGTGTGATACAAATGTGAAACCTTAGAATTGTGTACCCCTTAGTATCTAACCCGCTACAGACTACACAGGCTAGATTATATAAGTCTGACAGTTGGATGCTTTTCCTTACGCCTATAGGGATCCATGCGCTTCCTCGGAATTTGTGGGCAGGCTGGGCCGTCATCGCGGGCGCCGAACTTTTCTGTGTGCACGAACCAAGCTGAAGGTGCTCTGTGTCAGAGGTCCACTGGTGATCCCCGATTGATCCTAGGGAAGGGTTACAGGCATGTTGGCCTGGGGGGTTATGGGCGCACTGAACCGCTACTTAACAAGCCCTTTTATCCCAGTGGTCTAGTGGCTGGGATTCTGACATGGTATCAGAGCGAAGGTCTCGGGTTCGAATCCCAGTGTGTGCACTTCGGGCATCCCAGTGCGGGGGGGTGTTAGAGGTCCACTGGTGATCCCCGATTGATCCTAGGGAAGGGTTACAAGCATGTTGGCCTGGGGGGTTATGGGCGCACTGACCCGCTACTTAACTAGCCCTTTTATCCCAATGGTCTAGTGGTTGGGATTCTGACACTCTGGTAGGTGTATTTGAACATGGGCCACCCGAATATGCAACAACATTCGGGTCGTTGGATGTTTTTCCCTACGCCTATAGGGATCCATGCGCTTCCTTAGAATTTGTCGGTAGGCACGGCCGTAATCGCGGGCGCCGAACTTTTCGGTGCGCACGAACCAAGCTAAAGTTTCCCATGAAGGTGTATTTGAACATGGGCCACCCGAATATGTGACAATAGTAGGGTCGTTCGATGCCTTTCCTTACGCCTATTGGGATCCATTCGCTTCCTTAGCATTTGTCGGCAGGCACGGCCGTCATCGCGGGCGTCGGACTTTTCTGTGTGCACGAACCAAGCTGAAGTTGCCCTAGCAGGTGTATTCGAACATGGGTCACCCGAATATGCAACAACATTCGGGTCGTTGGATGCTTTTCCATACGCCTATAGGGATCCATGCGCTTCCTTAGAATTTGTGGGCAGGCTGGGCCGTCATCGCGGGCGCCGAACTTTTCTGTGCGCACGAACCAAGCTGAAGTTGCTCTGGTAGGTGTATTTGAACATGGGCCACCCGAATATGCAACAACATTCGGGTCGTTGGATGCTTTTCCCTACGCCTATAGGGATCCATGCGCTTCGAAGGCATTTGCCGTCAGGCACGGCGGTCATCGCGGGCTCCGAACTTTTCTGTGCGTGCGAACCAATCTGAAGTGGCTCTGGTATGTGTATTTGAACATGGGCCAGCTGAATATACAACAACATTCGGGTCGTTCGATGCTTTTCCCGACGCCTATAGGGATCCATGCGCTTCCTTAGCATTTGTCGGCAGACACAGCCGTCATCGCAGGCGCCGAACTTTTCCTTGCGCACAAACCGAGATAGATTTGCTCTGGTAGGTGTATTTGAACATTGGCCACCCGAATATGCAACAACATTCTGGTCATTGGATGCTTTTCCCTACGCATATCGGAATCCATGCGCTTCCTTAGCATTTGTCGACAGACATTGCCGTCATCGCAGGCGCCGGACTTTTCCTTGCGCACGAACCAAGCTGAAATCGATCTGGTAGGTGTATTTGAACATGGGCCACCCGAATATGCAACAACATTTAGGTCGTTCGATGCTTTTTCCGACGCCTGTAGGGATCTATGCACTTCCTTAGCATTTGTCGGGAGACAGTGCCGTCATCGTAGGCACCAAACTTTTAGGTGCGCATGAACCGAGCTGAAAGTGCTTTGGTAGGTGCATTTGAACATGGGCCACCCAAATATGCAACAACATTCATGCCGTTTTATGCTTTTCCCTACGTCTATAGGGATCCAATCGCTTCCTTAGCATTTGTTGGCAGACACTCTCGTCATCGCAAGCGCCGAAATTTTCCTTACACACGAACCAAGCTGAAAATGTTTTGGTAGGTGTATTTGAACATGGGCCACCTGAATATTAACAACATTGCGGTCGTTCGATGCTTTTCCCGACGTCAATAGGGATCCATGCGCTAGCATTTGTCGGCAGACATTGCCGTCATCGCAGGCGCCGAACTTTTCCTTGCGCACGAACCAGGCTGAAATTGATATTGTAGGTGTATTTGAGCATGGGCCACCGAATATGCAACAACATTCATATCGTTTGATGCTCCCTACGGCTATAGAGATCCGTGCGCTTCCTTAGCATTTGTCGCCAGACACTGCGGTCATCGCATGCGCCGAACTTTTCCTTGCGCGCGAACCTTGCTGCAAGAGCTCTTGTTGGCGCATTCGAACATGGGCCATCTGAATATGCAACAGCATTCAGGTTGTTCGATGCTTTTCCCTACGCTTATAGGGATACATGTGCTTCCTTTGCATTTGTTGGCAGACACTGCCGTCATCGCAGGCGCCGAACTTTTCTGTGAGCACGAACCAAGCTGAAAGTGCTCTAGTAGGTGTATTTCAGCATGGGCCACCCGAACATCTAATAACATTCAGGCCGTTCGATGCTTTTCTCTACACATGTAGGGATCATGCGCTTCCTTGGCATTTGTCCGCAAAAACAGCCGCCATCGCAGGCGCCGAACTTTTCTTTGCGCTTCTTTAGCCATATTTTTTCGAAACGGGATCGAATTCGCACCGGTTTAGAAAATTGCGAAGCAGCCGTGGCTTTTTTCACTTGGTGGTACCCATTGTATGCCCCCGCAACTTGGATCACTCTCGGCTGCAAACGCGCACAAGCGCGCCTTCCCTGCCCCTTTGATTAAGACCATCCAATGCGTTTTCAACCATATTTTTGCGAAACAGAATCGAAACTGCACCAGTATAGAAAATTACAAAGCAGCCAGAGATTTTTGCACTCGATCGTACTCATTGTATGTCCCCGCACCTTGCATCTCACTCTCGGCTGCAAAAGCGCACAAACGCGCCTTCCTCACTTCTTCGATTAAGCCCATCCAGGGCATTTTTATGCATATTTTGTTAGAACATTATAGCTTATGCTTTTGTGTAGGCTGTAGTGGGGTATCCCATAGGGGGTACAACCCAATTAGGGTTAGTACTTGTACCCACTTCATTCATAATTCATTCATTCTCGTTTCAGTTTTCTCATGGTATCGAGCAGGTTCCCTCGTGGGAACTGTTCCTAGGGCCCTACTACTGCTTCCGCTGCTACTCGATCTGTCGCACGCCCCGTGGCGTGTGACCTATTTGGCGCGCGGCGATTTTCTTTCTGGCGCGCGCCCCGAGGCGCGCAGCCCCGCTACCCCGTCGCGCCGCCCTAGCGGCCGCGTCGCGCCGCCCTCGCGGCCCCGATCTGCCGCCCTAGTGGCCTCGTCACCTACCTCTGCGGCCTCAGCTCCGCCCTTCCCGGCCTCGGCTCTGCCCTTCCCGGCCCCGGCGCCTACCCCGGCGACCCCGACGCCGCCCTTCCCGACCCGGCCCCGCCTCTGCTGGCCCCGTCGCCTGCCCCTGCGGCCCCGGCTCCGCCCTTCCAGGCCCCGGCGCCACCTCGGCTGGCCCCGTCGCCTACCCCGGCGAACCCAACGCCGCTCTTCCCGACCCGGCCCCGCCTCTACTGGCCCTGTCGCCTACCCCTGCGGCCCCGGCGCTGCCCTTCCCGGCCCCGGCGCCACCTCTGCTGGCCACGGCGCCGCCTATGCTGGCCCGGACGCCTACCCTCCGGCCCCGGCGCCACCTCTGCTGGCCCCGTCGCCGTCACCACCGAGCCGCCGGCGCCGCCGAGCTAGTGCCGAGCCACCCGAGCCACCCAAACCACCCAAGCCGCAGCGCCACCTCAGCCGCCCGAGCCGCCGAGTCGCCGAGCCGCCGCGCTGCAGTTGCTGCCGAGCCGCCGTACCGCTGAGTCGCCCGAGTCGCCCGA